TTGTGCTTATCCTACATCTGGAATTTATTCACTGCACGCTTAACCCTTTGTGAGCGAATTAAATGACTCAGTCGCGAATGTGATCATGAACATTTCGCAATTGGATACGCTCCGAATGCTCCGAGTGCATCTAAAGTTACGATATTTTGCGCAATATTCTTTTTGCGATATTAAACTCGACTTTAAACCGAAAAATTTGATATCGTCGCAACGTAGACGTAATACTTTGAAAAAACATTGTCATGGTTTATCACGTACGTGAACGCTAAGCAAACATTTCTTCTACCAAATAAATTCAAAAATGTAAACAAGCGCATGCAGATCGTTCGGCACCAGATGGGTTCACTGCACTCTACATTTCGTCAATATTTTCGTATTGTCCCATGAGAATCCCGTAGATCCCGCATATATTTGTTCGATCTGCCTGCCATTCGTATGTGAATTTGTCTGTCTAATATTGCGTACAAAATCTCGTTTTTCGGTAAAAATTTTAAATCAGATTCATATAAAAAATGTATTACTGGATATCATTTCTTTTATCAATTATATTATTAAAAATAAGTATAAACGAGGATATAAACTTCACATGTAAAAATTTTTGCAATAATCAATAATACCTGAATATTACACAGAAAATTTTATTATTTCTCTAATCTTTTTTCTGGTATTATATCCTATTTTTCCTCTATTATATATAAAATATATTGTTTAATGTAAAATTATACATATATATGTAATATGTTAAGAATTTAGAAAGTTCAAAAAATTTTATTCTAAAAAATGAATTATAAACCGCTAAATCGTAAATTTGTACGATTATTTTCATTCATCATTTTAATAATATTATTTTCTTCTATTATTGATTCTACTATTCTACTTGTAGAGTAGAATTCTTCAGCGGTTTACTTGTGATATGTAATATATATAGAGTGACCCAGAAAAATAAAATAACAGTCAAATTTTATATCTTCACTTTAATATTAATTTTTCTTTAACATTTTCTTTTCTTAATAAAAAACTTGATAAAAGCATGATAAAACTCAAAATTTTACAAAAGAAATTAAAAATCATATACTTTTTTTAGAATAAAATCTTTAATTAAATCTAAATAATGGAATTAAATGATGAAATCTTTAATCAATCCAGAATCATTTCTTTAATTTGGGATGCCAATATTTTTAGAAATATAAATAAAAGAAAGAAATTGTCTTTTATAAACTAAGTTATTTTGAATTAAATATAAAAATCTTAATATTAACTCAAACTTTATGTATATATTCCTTTCTAGAAAAATTCTATTGCAATTGTCAAGATATTTATAATTAAATATTAATTAAATATTAAAATATTCTATTTAAATTTAACTCCAAAGCAAACATCCTTTATCATGTATCTACGATTAAAAGTAAATTTTTTTATAACACTATAATTATGATATGATTCATACCTTTTGTGTGAAGGAATTCCGAAGGTGCCTAGTGTTGCGATCGTTCCGCGATACGTGGATAAAGTCAGACTTTCTCGCGAGCACTCTCAAATCACCACTGTAAACAATTCCATCGCCAATAATCCGGCAACAACAACAACAACAACGACACGGCAGGTCGTATTTACATTCCGCGCCCGTTGTGCACGACTATATCGAATGCCAAGGGGGATGACCGCGAGCTTCGACTCACGTGTCCGCGATCACGCTGTGTTACACTCGCCGTTTGCGACCCCTTCGAACGCGAAAAAATGACGCACTGTACTCACTACATCACCAGGCATGCCACCGTCCTCGTCGTTTGTAAGATCGCACGACTCCGCATCGAAGCGAGATCGAGATTTAATCGAAATACTCTGCGTAATCGGAGCGCCGCGATAAAAGTTGTCTTCCTCGTTGATTTTTTTATTTCTTTCGGTTTTTTTTTTTTTCGTATAAATATCGTGATCGGAATCGCGTCGCTCAAAGTTGGAGCTCAGGCGCCGCTACTACGCGGATTGTCAGACTCCGGAGATGGACCAGCGCGCGCGGATCTCACGCTCCGTTTCTCGCGCGAGGGAGGACGCCGTGGGGGGAGGAGGGGTGAAGAAGGGAGATGGGACGGAGGTAGAAGGCCAGCCGATTGATAAGCACTCGCGTGCGAGCGTGGCGAACGTCCCGCGAAATCCCGCGAGTCGCGTTCGCAATGCCAGGTACGAAGAGAACGCCGAAGATCCGTACGAGAGTACCGGCAGATGTACCTCGGCGGACGTCCACGCTCGCTCTGAGGGTGTTCGGCGGCTTTGATCTCGTGCGCATCTGCGCCGCGCATTACGCTCACATCATTGGCCCGACGAACCAACACCGATCTCCCACCATTGACCCCGAGCCGGCAGGGATTCTCTTCCGACAGGATTCTACAGTGCCTAGGGATACCTGAAGACTTCGATAGTATCTCAGTATCTCAGATACTCTTCGATTCCGTTCGATGCTGTTAACAAGCACTGACATCGATATTGTACTCCTGTTTTGGAAAAATAATTTTTTTTTTTAATAGAACGTGAGTACCGCTATTATTAAAAAGAATATCGTTTTACGATATTGTCGAACGATAAATGCTTAAATTTGTAAGAATATTTCTAATGACGATCTCATAATTAGAAATTTTTTGTTATTGTGGAATTACACGGGGAGACTTTCCGACACCGAAAAATATTTTCCCGACTGTCTAGTTATCCGACTATTATTCATTCGCTTTCCTCTATTATTCTTCCGTATCAGACAGCATCGGACACAAAATGTGCAATGCAATATAAATTCATTTAGCAGAGATATTCATTTTTGCCTACTTTATAATCAAATGAATTTTCCCCATCTTTCAAATTTGTTCCGTCTCCAAAATAAAAAATCTAGTCGTTTTGCTGTTCTGATTATATATTAGTTCAATTAATTTTACGAAAGAACTTTACGAATCTTGAATTAATTTCTTAACTTTACAAGTAATGTCTTAAAATCTTCAAGATAGTAGATAAATAGATTATAAAAATTACACATTATAAACGCAAGATAAAAAAACAAGGACTTATAAATAAAACAAGTAATAATATAAACAGCACAAAATATAAAAATTCTTTAAATATGAAAATATCATTAATAGTTAAAATTACAGAAAGTGCTTGATCAATGTAATAAGAAAAAAAAAATGCTTAGTATTTATTTTTTAAGTAATGCATTTAAAAATATATAAAAAAAATTACATTATTAGAAAAAAAAATCATTCAGAATATATGTCATTGTAAGAAAATAATTTAGAGTGGAATAGGTTTGAGTAGTTCTATGTTAGCAACGCTGGGGAAGAAAAGTAGACAAATGGCAGACATTGCAGAGATGTAGCAGCGCCTGAGGCGAGAAAGAAGAAATGATGTTCGTACTATTAACCCGGGGTGGTAGAAGAGAGACCCCTGAATGCTGCAGGATCTTCGTTGAGCGCCATTACACCGAGAATAAGAAATAATTGCGTGGTACAGAGGGTCAAAGTCGTGAGAGCGACCTGCTGCTTGTGATCCTCCCCAATACCGGCGACCTTTAATCTCGTCTCGTCCGTTCTTATTTCTCTCCTTCAGTTTGTGACTCATCTATCTTATATTCTTGTGTACTGACCGTAAATACGGAAGATTCAAATCGATCGCGATGGTACGCGAAATCGAATCAATTGTTTTCTTATATATCATGATAAATTAGAGGATTCAATGATGATGTTATTTTTATATGAACTATACATAATTATACATAATTAAACTTTTATACATAAATTTACATAATCATTTTGCTGAATTATAAAAATATATTTCTTAGTTGTGCTTTTCCTCATTATATCAATTTATTAAGGTCGAACAACAATTATATAATTGTAATAATGGTTTCGAAATAATAATTTAAATAATTCATTAAAAAATTATTGTGCATATATAATTGTTAACACCTTTCTTTCACAAATCTGAATAAATATAAAAGTATTTTCTAAATAAATCTCGTATGTACATATTATAATCTATATAAATTTTTGTTTTATTTGGTATTAGATTTTATAAATCTATCTTTTACTAATAAATTACTTTACAATTAATATTATAAATAATATTATAAATAATTTACAAATCTTTTTATTACATATTGGTGCTGAAACTATGGATATTTACAACAGTAAGTATATATATTTGAAAAAATAGATATTGATTGAACTTACTGTTGTAAAGTATGAATATCAAGTGTCTACTGTAAGTATTCAATACAAGTATTAGCAATGGTTGCAGTTGCTCCATTGGTAAAAAGAAAATATTTGAGTTGATATCAGTTGGTAAAGAGAAAGTATTCAAGTATTAGTATATCAAGTACTATGACATATCAGTACTTGATATCCTCATACCGATTGAGTAAAAATGATGACTAATATTTATACAAACTAACTATTCCATATAATATATATTTATTATAAAAAGTAAATTATATATATTTTTATTTAAATTCTATTAGAAAGTATTTTTATTTATTAAATATAATTAATATATATTAGATCTTTGTCCAAAGTACAAACAGATCACGAGATAGATCTTTATCCAAAATACAAACAGATCACGAGAGATGGTGCTGATTATCTGTTACGTTATTGTTTTACTTACTGTTTATGTGAAGCAAAATCTTGCATGTGCATGTAATAATTAAATAAATTAATTTTTTTATGTTATAATTAGTTATTTGATATGCGCAAAATGATTTAATTTATGTAAATAAATATTTATATAAATAGACATATATTTTTTAAATAAATTTAATAAATATTATGTATATATTCCATGAACATACCTTTACATATTCAATTCTTATTAATTATACAACATAAATAAATAAAGAAAAGAAAATATAAAAAAATATAATAAGGATAACTTATTTTAAACATTGTGCATTTATATAATTACTAAAATTAAACTAATCGTAAGGCTTATGAATCATGATTTAACATATGTAACTGAAAAGTTTATATGGCCAGGCTCAGTAAAAGCGCAGTGCCACGTTTCACCCAAAAGTCCGAATCTTGTGTTCCAGTTTTGAGATCTACAGCAACTACGAATGCAGATCTCATTTGGTCTCCGCTCCTCTGGGGGTAATAATAACAAGGACAGCTGTAGAATTCTGCAAAAGTTAAACGAACGTTGGTTGTAATTGAAAGTCTGTTTCTTTCAGCAACCGCAGACATATTTGCGCGCTAAGAAAATTTGAATGCAGTAAAGTGATATTTGCATGATTATTTTACCTTTGATTTTCTTTTTAACTTGCTCCACAGGTCGAAAATGAATCACTGGCATATTACATACAAGTTGCATGGATGCGGGCTCGATGAGAACGCCATTCTCTTTGTCCCAGCCGGCACCTTCCAGAAAAATGGATCGTACATACACGCCATTCTAAAGTAAAATTATACAATTAATAAAGTAAGATATATAATCGTTCACACACACACACACACACACACACACACACACACGCGCGCGCGCGCGCGCGCGCGCGCACATTTATATACACATTATTATAATTTGATATTATAATTTGTAACGTACTCATAAAAATAATGTCCCGCAATAATTTATCGATCTTTTGCATTTAAAAAAATATATGATAATCAAAAAAGCATAAAAAAGACTATAAATACAGCCTATAATAAAAATAATTTTTATATATAATTTTAAATGATGCAATTAATATATTTAAAGTTAAGTAAAGCCAAGAAAATTTTTATCTCGAACTTTTTTAGCTAAAAGTTTCTGCCCAAAAGTCAGTTACATTATTGTGCACAACTTATACAATTGCAATATTCGCCAATTGCAATATTAGCCAATAAGCACTACTCAAGCAAGAAATGTAAGCTTCTTATAGTAAAACAGTGCTTGATATTAGTCGTCTCAGACCGAAGCTGGTCCGATGAGCAATTAGTCTAATCGCTCGTAGTTACCACGGGCAGCTCGATTATAGCAGACTCATCCGTTGAGAAGACAGTAAACTCCCATGACAACGAATCGATAGATACGTTCCACAGTCTCGCCGAAGTTTGTAGTACCGCAGTAAGGAATCCGGTCGGAAATGTATACGCAGCTAGCCAGAAGAGCAATGGCGGATGAGTGGTTTGAGCCCAATTGGCAAAGTGCTCGACTCGATTGATTAGATCCCTCGTCCAAGCGCCGAGCAGTTTCAAAGATGGATACGCAGTCAGCCATAGAGACGGTACTCTGCCGTCGTATATGCACGTGAAAATTTCTTCTAACTCTCGCGACATCAACACCAATCCCGTAATTCCGCGCTGAAGTTCCTCAAGGCTGTCGCGAGTTTTTGCCAACAGCTCGTTGTATCGCCCGATTTCTTGAAGAAGCACAATATCCAACGGCGTCTTATTTGATCCTATCAGTTTTTCCGTTGTTTCGTAATCGATCGCTTCCGGTATTTTCAAGAGAATATCGTTCGCGAGTTGCATTACCTGTAAAATAAAATTGATATCTTATTGGTTGTAAACTCAAGGCGAAATTACGATAACATTAACGATTATCAATAATATAGAAGCAGAAATATTAAGATTATTTGCATTAAGTTCCTTAATGTAAAGTCTATTGTATTTCTACTTACTTTCTCTTATGCTTTGTCATTTTTCTCTAGATTGAATAGGGAAATCAACTTTAAATGTGATAGCTTCATTTGCTTACCTTCTGTTCTTTATCCTCGTCTACCTCGACACTGATCATCTGTATCTGAAGACTCATTAAAGTTTGCAACATGTTTCTGGATTCCATTATTAGACAACTGATATCCGCGTTTGGATGCTGACCAAACGCTTCCGGTCTGTCGATATTCGGTAGAATTGCGATAAAGTCGCGGTAGGACTCCAAGGAGCCGTCGTGAGGCACGTAATAGGTGGGCAGTGATGACAAACGATAATGGGGGGTAGTCAGGACATCTTCTGTGAAATATTGCTGGATGTATGTCATCAACAACCGGCGATCCCAGTCGTCGGTCACGTGACCACCATAACAAACACCTGCTATGAGATATTTCAAAGATTCCCACGGTGTGACTGGATATTCATCCAGGTAGACTCGCAGCAGATTCTCGGAAACCTGGAGCAGATATCCTACTATCATGACAATCGTGCTTCTTTATCATTGGTCGTCATTTTGACGAGACAAATTTAAACGTTATAAGAAACGGTGGCTCGAGATTCTTCAGATACCATCCAGTTAAATAAATTGTTCCGAATAAATAAAAAGCTTTCTGCAACGTATATACCGCTTACAACTTTTGCTTGAAAATACCTCAAAATCAGAATCGTTAAAGCTGTAGACCACATTCCAACCGAGTTGTTGGAATTTCTTCCGTTCTAGAAGAATAGAGTGGAAGAAGATCAGCGTGAACAGTAGCTTTTTATATTTAGACTTTTCTTGGCACAAGTCGAACTGCGTTTCGGTGATTAAACTGTAAAGGCGCTTCATGTTCGCTTTTAATCCTTTTGGCGGCTCGGTAGTCATTTTTATTCCAGCCTGAAGGATCGATATCGGGAATTGAGGAGTCGGACTTGAACTAAGCCATAATCTATAAAAGAATTAAGTACTCGCTTTTAGAACATTTATATCGTTATATCAAATTGAAATTCTAAAAATTATTTTTTATAACTACATTTAATAATTTTCATCAAAATATTTATTTTATTTTATTATTTGCAACAAATTTAATGTTTTAGAAATTTTTAATTATTTTTGGAGATTATTTTATTATATTGTGTGAAAAATACATAGTACATTGTATGAAGAATATAAGACAGTATTTCATAATCCTGGCATACCTAAATCTTGGATGTAAAGTTTGGCTAGAACCAAGCGTTTCCACGATCTTATCGAGCTTGGGCATCCAACTGAGCGAGAGGTGGCAATTCGCAAGAAATATCCAAGATCCTTCCTTGGCACCAGTCTCTATCATTCTACATAGAAAATAAAGTAATATGAAAATCACTGGGAAATTTTTATCAGATATTAATCTGCACTTTTGGTTATTAATGTTATTAAGATGTTAATTCTAAAATTTTATTAGATTTCAATTAAATTAAAAAATATGATTATTTTAATTCTTTTATTTTTTCTGTTTTAAAATATTTTAAATAATAAGTTTGTTATAAAATTACATAAACTTTATAATTAACCTCGTGGCAATAGGAGCTTGTCCTTGGCCTAGTGATAACGTTATAAAATTAGCAGTCATGCCCTGATTATCGACTAATTGCATGAGAACACCAGTAGGATCTGCGCCAGGTGAAAGAACAAATATCAATGGTGTTTGTGCCGTGGAATCATCTAATACTGCTTTTAGATCAAGTATAGGAGGCTCCACAAAATTCTGACCGAGATTACGTATGATATAACTTGTGATACAAAAAAATATTCTATCAGATCGACAGCTGCGGATGAATAACATTTTCTCAAATTCGGTACATTTTTCCCATTCGCCGACCAGTGGCATAACTTCCGGTTCTGTGTTAATGTACCTGGATGTTAAAGAAATTTATAAGACAATATTATATAAAATTCCCCAAAATATTTATCTAATATTTTTGACGAATAATAACGTGATTATATTCGAATGAATAATTATAAATTTAACTAAATTTTTTTAACTTTCTCTCTCTCTCTCTCTCTCTCTTTCTCTCTCTCATCATATCACAAATAAAAAATTTATATGATAAAATTAATATGTATATTTAGAATTTTTCTTAACTTAATTATTTTCTAGAAGATAAAATTCTTTTAAATATCTTTTAAATTAATATTTATAAATATATTTTTTCTTCTTTATAAGAATTTTTTAAACACAATAATTGATTTAACTACAAAGTCAGCTAAAAGAAAAGTATTATAAAAATGATGAAAAACGAAAGAAGCTGAAGTGTCGAAATAACGTGACGAAATAACGATGTGACGATTGTATGACGTTGTACGCACCAATTGTGCCAATCTCGCGGGAGCTGCTTAAAAGAAGAAACGACTCCGTGAAATCCGGGCAGCTTGTCGAGTTCCGTGACATTGTCCCAAGTTTCATCCGGCAGCCATGGCACGGGTTTGTCCGGCTGATTTTCTCGATCCAATACGATCCCGCCGCGGAGCAGAAACGCGTATTCCTCTGGGATGATCTTACCTTGCGCATCCAATATCTTGACACACATATGGAAAGAAAAGAGTAGTTTGTGCTGCTCGAATAGACCTCGGCATGTATTCCTGTTTTATAAAAATAAAATTTGCGAGATTAATTTGTTTAAGAGAGATTATACATTTTTCTCGTATATATATATATATATATATATATATATATATATCAAGATATCCACAAGAACTGTAACGGCGTCACATTACGTTTAGTATATACACGCGCCTCTCAAGCTCAACATTTTCCACGTAACATTGATTTATGATACTGTGTAGAAGATAAGAGACTGGTAAAAACAAGATACATTTTTCATTAAAAAAGTTTTCTCGCGAAGATTATATATTGCGTTACTACATATCCTCATTAAATTATCATTACAAAATTCTTTCAAAAGACTATTATTCGATATAACATTGCTCATCTTGCGAATCTGTGAAAAAGGAAAAGTCATTAATTTTTATCTTTTTTCTTATGTAAATTATCGATGACAATCAAAGAGATCAGTAAAAGAAAATACGATATTTTAGAATTCTAATCGTAATGCTTGCGTCTCAATGAAACGGGGACATGACATTTTGTAATTAAGAGCTTAAAAAAATTCTTGTATTTAATTATACCTGTAAACTGCGTATGTATGATAATCATTTAAGCTGTTGATCCTTTCAGATAAATCTTCTTTTTTGGGACTCTTGTCGATAGAGAGTATAAACAATGCATTGTATGCATCGAGGGAGAATTGATACATGGGATCAATAGCGCTCATGTCATTTAGAGTGAAAAAGAGAATTGAGGCACGTTTCGAGCATGGTCGATATCCTTCTCTCGTTAGATCTATCTCTTTTTCTGTCTGTTCTGCAATAGCTATAGATTCTTGAATGGAAATGGAGGTCGCCTTTGATGTTTGCAAGGTATTCAGCAAATCTAAGTCATCCAAAAGAGTTTCTCCTGCCACGCTTAGCAAACTAATAGGAATATGTAGGAATTTTGTTAATTATTTTGGCTAATTACTTTTGAACAATGATAAGAGTTAATGATTAAATGAAATTATTAAAATATCTAATAATTAAGTGCAGAGTAAAATATATTAAGCGCGCACACACAAGCGAATCTACATTTCTGAGTGGAAAACGTTTCGGCTTAAAACTTATGGCAATATCATAATCTTACTGAAGTATTTTATCGTATAATTCTTTGAGAGTTTGTTTATCGAACGCGATTGTGAGGACCAGATTGTCTTTCTGTTCCTCCAGTTGCGGCTTTTCTTTTCTGACCACAATTCCGAGAAGCTGCGCTTCGAGTCCTACACACGGGACAGAGTTATATTCTCTAATCTTGTTCCATCTTTCACTAAAGTATACCGTAAGACTATTAGTTACCCTGCTCCTTAATGGCGAAGTTGCATAATGTCGTTTTAGTTGAAATCTCTGGAGGATAGTGGGGATTCGAGAGTTTCGTAGTCATAAACAGCCGGAATTGTTTATTATAAGTGATCATTTTGTCATTAAATCGGATTATCACTTGATCATCTGTAGCACATATTATTAGAGACATAGGTAAAATAAAATAAAGTTAATGTTTTCACTTTATGTGCCGAATGTTATTTTTACAAGAAATTAACTATATTTGAATTAATCGTTTTCTAAAAATATTAATATTAATACTTTATTTATATTATTTATTTCTTTAGTTTAACGATATAAATAAGTATTTCATTTTAAATTATATTTTAGCAGTTTTTAATATTATCGAGATTAAAAAAAAAACCTTTTCTTTCTGCATAAGTGTAATACCGAATTTGAATGTAATTACATGATAATAACGTGAATTCTACCTGATTTAATGAAAGCTTTTTGGAGAATCGGGTTCAAACCCGGATCGAGGGTCTCCCCGATATTTTCGAGCAGTACTGGGTTTCCAAACTGAATTGCTTTTTCCAGAACTCTCATAAAGTTCGCTTGACCAAAGTCGATTACTTTCAGTAACTGCGATTGTAATTGTTACATTAAAATAACAAAGTAAATTCTCTGATTTTACCGGATTAAAATCGTTTCATCTCGAATTAGTTATTTAATTTTATATTAAATCCAATATCATCGATATTGTGCTGGCGGGATATTAGTTTCTTTGATGGATATCGGTACTATAGATACTGGACATTTACGTTTTTCCCCTCCATATTTTTGATCCACTTCACCGCCTGACATTGTGGATCGATTACGAGGGGCCAACGTGTTCCTCGTGTCACTATGATGCCATTCTCTGTGCTGAATTCATCCGACGGTAATCCCTGAATGTTCCACTCCCTGATTGTCGATGGGTCAACTAGGAACTCCTTCACGTCTAGATTTCGTGATGTCGGTATTTTTCTATCATGTACCTTGATCGTTCAATAAATAACATTATATCTACAAGCATTAATTTATCATATAAACGAAACTAATTATTTTAGAATAAAATATACATATAAAATGTAAAATACAAGTAATAAAAATTAATTTTGTATTTTATCACAATTATTACTCTTGATTGCAAAATATGATTATATTTGCGTGTAATATTTTATTTTATTTTGAAAATTTTATGTAGAAAGATTTTTTAATCGAATTAGTAAAGAATTACGAATATAAATAATGAAAAATGAGCTTCAAACTTACTTCTTTGGACCAAATATTTATTAGTTCCTGTCTATAATTGGATACAAATGGACCGAGATAAGACACAAATCCAGTAGATATCAAGCAATCACCCAGCAAGTAGTCAAAACATTCAGTTAATGAAGCTACTGTATTCTCCCACAGAATTCGTTCATCGGAAAGACTATCCACTAACATTCCCGCACGTTCTAATTTCAGCTTTAACATTTCAGCCTGAGGGAAAGGGAATGTAATTACACGAAATTACATTTACATGAAATGCGTTTTAGTAAATGCGGATGGACTACTTTAGATCTAAAAATAAAAGGAAAATATAATATTAAATTATTATTTACTAAATACACATTTTTTTTACTAATTAATATTACAATTATTATAATGGCTTATCTAAGTTAACTGACAATATTAAATTATTAAAATATCTCGGGAATATCAATTAAAAGTTGCAATTTCATCGTAAAAATAATTTTTTAATTAATTCGCGGAATATCGCGAAATTTCGCTCTATGTGAATTAATACAGATGCAGGATTCGCTCGAAGGAATATATCTTGCCAATGGAAATGCGGGCAGAATGCGGAATTCTGTAGTTACTACGATACAAGTTTGTATAACTGTAAGTGTTACTGGACGAAGTCGAATTGGACCAGCCGACTTCCTTTACCGGTCCGTGCTTTCTCGGCTTTATGCGAGGTCATTTCCGATGTTCTAAAGTGCAAGAAAACATGAGTATACTCGCCAGCCTAATCAAATCCTCCTTTTCTTTCATCTTCGCGTCGTACATCCGCTGTAATCTTTCGAGTTCTTCGCGTGCGTTCTGCAGCTGCTGCATTGCCTCCTTTAAGGCCATTTCCTTCTGTTTCAGCGATTTCAACGCGATCTCTAATTTTTCCCTTTTTGGTGCCACGATTCTGCAATGCATCGTAAAAGTATAATCAAGTTTTCTTCCGCAACGGAAAATAAGTAACGTGGAGTAACTGAGGAAATACATTACGATTAGACAATAGCAATTGTTGCTTTAAAGGAACAATATGTGAACTGTTTTTTTTTTATATAAATATATCACAAATGGCTTCCAAATTTATGATTTTCAAAAAAAAAGTTTAAAGGATACATTGTGAAATTTATTTTATTCTAGTTACCTGTATAACTTGCCATAATTTTCCATAGCTATCACCCACATACAAAGTGACTTAGCTGCAACAGACACTACACCGACCTTTACGGGATCGAATTCGGGATTGGACGTGTACTTGGCTATTGTTCGCAGAACTCTGTCCGATATATGATCTTTGTCGAAGTCTCGAAGCTAGAAATCAAATTAGAGCGAGTTAGTTCGCTGGAAATGAATGGACTTGTCAGTCGCAACATTGTCGCTCACCGTATTAATGAAGTTCACATCGCTAAGTTGACGTTTCGCTTCTGCCCACGTAGGTTCCGAGTTTTTCAGGATCATTACAGCTTCCATTACCATCTCGACTTTTGGCGGCGGATGTGGGAAGGATTTTATTTCAGATAAATCCTTTTTGCTCAAAGTTTCCAACGCCTAAAGCAATCCACCATTTCGTTTCATTAATGTTTCATTTACGTAAGTTTTTAGTATACGTTTAACTTTTTAAAGCGATTGTTTGAGAAATAAATGCTTAAGCGGAATATAGCTTTCTTTTTTTTTTTCAATCTCCGGAGATAAATTTTTCGATAACAAAAATTTAATTACCGAGCAAAATCCTTTCATTTTTGATCGCGCATGATTCAAAGTTATTGTTATCTCAACATTGGATATTCATAGCGCCACAGTACCGAAAGAACTGAATCACTTGGTAAAACATCACATAAATTAAGAGTTAGATTTATAAAAATATATGAGACGAGAAGATTAAAGGAGAGAACGATCAGAAATTCTAATATTATCTGAAATTGGATGATGTTCCTAGAAAGGATAATTCGATAATGACCTTGATAGCCTCGTTCAAGGCAGGTTCGACGGTCGCCAGGTCAGCACGCGCAAGCTCCTCCAGCTGCTTGCATTCTTTTTGCTCCTCGGCGATACGAAACGATTTCGCGGTGATCTGCCTCTGCGTTTCATCAGCTTCGTGGCTTTGGTTTACTACGTTCGTTGCAAGCGTATCACAGTTAAAAGCGGCGGACGATGCAGGCGGATACCGTATGATTAATTAAGTGCGCGAGGAAAGTTAGAACCAGCGCGAGCGTTAAAAGCAATAAGTTTTTATAGATTAATCTGATAAACGCCACTGATAATATATCACTGTCGTGTGCGCCGTGTACCTATCGTTACGAGGAATTCTTCGCACTCCGTCGTAGATTTATGAACTTGCTGCTGAGTGACTTCGAGCTCCGCCGCCATTTCTTTAACTTTCACCCGGATATCGTCGATCTTCGAGAGGCCGCCGCGAAGTTTGTTCGCCTGATCTGCTAAATCTTGTCTCTTTTTTGCCAACATCCTATGTGATTCGAATATAGCCTGTTTTTATTTTTATCGAAGGTACTAAGGACACAGCGCAGTAAAAATTCTATACTAATTACATCAGGTGGAAAATTGTACTGTCTTAGTCTTAAATAACGGAAATGTCTGATGGTTCAATTCTTACTCTTTATAACCAGTCACCAGCTCGATAAAATTCACGGGAGTCACGTAATTGTAATGCTTCATTTCAACGGCCATTTTGCGAGAGAACTGGGAGACCGTGGCGTGGATCAAAGAGAATGATGCTGCAATTCCATCGCGCATTCGGTCCTGCAACGGTGGCAATGGAACGGCCGTCGCGGGTTTTCGCGGTTCCTGTAGAAAAGTGCATCCTCGTAGCGTTCGCGTTCGTTACGGTTGTAGTATAAATTTTTTAACCATCTCTACCCTATATCTCTACCCCTTGCTTTGCGCACGCTGGACGTAATAAAATGGTTCCGTATAAAATGCGTTCATTTTATGCCCGGATTAACAGCGATCCCTTCTGATACGCGCACGTTTCATCGTCTAATATTCTCTAGATTAAAGTCACCTGCATTTAATACATGATTATTTCAGACGCGTGATTATTCATTCCGTCGAAATTTTTACTCGGCAAAATCATAATGAGAAAATGTCTTCGTTTTGTGATATTAAAAAAGGGGATGTAATAGCAGGAGTCATAAATGCATTAAGACTAAAAGCTGCATGAATAATAAATAATCTAGAAATGACGTCGTTTAAGGAGAGAGATTCTTATCTTCTCTAGAAATGAAGGAAGCTTATTATAGTAGTTATGCATATTAAAAATGTAAAAGAACTTTATACATATTCTGATAGCGGTGAAATAAACATCTGTTTGATGGTGATTAAAGTTTTTACGGACAGAATTCCGTGCATCCGCGTATCTTCTTGAAATTTTATTTGAAGGATATGGAATAAAGCACAAGTACAAAGCATCCTCGAGCATCTTAGAGAATTATGAATATCAAAAGAATTTTCGAGGAATCCAAACGACCAATCTCGGCCTCGGCCGACGGAAAGAAATGCACCAGACGTCCGTATCATCAGGAGCAAACCGTAGATGGGAAAATAATCGGATTCGCTGAAATGGTCGGCAAGAAGAACGGGGGCGGGAGAGGGTGGAAGATTGGTGATAGGAAACGCGCGTTGATCGTAAGAATCGAATCGAATGGAATCGATCGCGCGGAGAGAGGAAGGGCGTACCCACCACTTTATTTTCGCCGGTGATAGTGAGCGTCAGATTGAGATTCATGAGGAACTTGTTGCCAACTTCGAGGAGAGCTTCTCTCGGCCATTCCAAGAACCAATCGATGGTCGTGCAATTGATCAGGGAAGGGTACTGCCGTAATCTGTTCCTGAAGGCATCGCCGATCGGGCTCATGCACAAAATCAAATGCATATTGGCACGCGCCCTCTCGATCAGGAAGGAGTACACCGTCTCAGTCGTTGGTGTCTTTCCAGTCTTTGTTACTTCCTTTGATAGTTTATTTTTAATCTGAGAAAAGGTGATATATGTCAGTATTCTGAAATAGCGTGCCCCTGTATCGATTTTATTTTTGCTGGATTGAATTAAATATAAATGTAACTTATGTGATATAGGCAATATCAGAACATTTAAATTGAGCCTGAGTTGTATATTTATTTTCGCTGCATAATGTTTTTCACTTTTGAATTGTTCTTAATATATGCGGTTATTTATTTAGAATATTTATGTGCATTTATTTGCGTTATTTATCTATATAGTTTACAGTTATTATAAAAAAATTATTTTTTATAACTTATAATCGTAAGAACAGTGCGTTTTCCATATTTACTTTAAAAAAAGTATGTGAAAATATTATCGTAAATTCTTGAAAAGCATTTAAAGCTTTACAAAAAAAATCTTCAAATTTTTATATTTTAAAAGCTTTTTAGATCTTTTCAAGATCATTTTGCTTTACAAAATAATTAATTCAATAAATTGATTAAAGAGATTTTAAAAGATATTGTGTGATACAAATGATTCCTGATATATAATAATATCGATGATTAAATCGACAATATTATGTTAGCATATAGGCAAGACAATAAACATTTACACACACAAAATATTGTATAATACAAAAATTTTCTATTTGATTAAAATGTCCTTATGTTTTTTTAATAATGCAAAAATATTTTGCAAGCAGAATTCCAAAGGATAATATAAGAATAGCAAGAAGAACATGAGGCAGAGAATAATTAAACGAGATATAAATTTCATAGGGAGTTGGAAATGGTACTTCTGTTATCTTTTTAATTTCGCTGATTCTCTTTTCCAAGAGAAAAAACGTCCTATATAGAGTAACATCATGGATTATATACGGATGGAGATGAAATGACGGTGGCGTGGAGCGTATAACCGACTTACGTCCTCCATTTCGTCGCTCTTGTAGAGATTAGCCACTTCACCAGTACTCAGCATATTGTTGACAATCTCCAGAAACTGCTCCTCCACCGCTTGGCTATCGTTGAAGAAGAAACTGGTCGGTTTGTTCTCCACCCCGGTTATTAAGTATAGAGTCTTAAGATCTTCACGAAATTCCGGTGTTCTATATTGCGCCGTAATGATAATTTGAAAGGTGGACAGCTCGCACACGTAACTACTGATGCGCGAAAGTGACTGTCTGCCACTGCCACCGATTCCAATCAGAAGAATATTACCGCGAGGCTACAAAAGGAAAAATCTCGATCATTATTTAAATTACTTAAATTAAGAATTGAATCATCTTTAACAAAGAGTATCGCTTAAAAAGCTATAGTAACTCAAACTTTAGTTTTCAATAATGTACTGTCGGCTAAAATGTTTACCGTCACGAGACACGTGACGTGAATCACTAACCTGTGATATTACACGAACGATGCGACATATATGTTCGATCGCGTCGCGAAACAAGACGAGATCGAGGCGCACCACGCCAGGAGAAACATTGTACTCATCCATCTGTTCTTCCATGTAGCGTCTTACAGCACCGATATCAGTCAGGTCTTCGTATATGTCCCAAGCATTCATAAAACTACCTGCGTACATTCATTCAGTGTATCTCCATACATCCGAAATGTAATAAATTGAATAATAAAACAACGATAATTAAATTTAACAATTTAATAATAATTAAATTTAAATTAATTATTAGTAAATGACAGAAAAAGTGTGTGTTAAAGATGAGGGTATCATGAGGTATCTACCGAAAACGGGACATTTCTTTTCCGGACAGACATTATAGAAGGTCAACTCAAAGTACTTTCCAAGCTGATCGTTCAGCTGAGTCACGAACCACTCTCTGTCCCTGAAAGAAATTGCTCAGCATTTTTTCTCCTGTAGCCCAGGCCAAATTAAGTTAATGTCTCTTGAGCGCTTACTTCTCGTCAATAAGCCGATCGCAGAAAACTCGGAAACTCTCGTGGACCCACAATCGCAGGAAAGTCTGCTTCGAATACTGATAGTCCTTATGGCTGCGCAGCAGACCCTGGAAGATCTGTCGGAATCGATACTAATTTTTGTATCCACTATCATACCTACTTTCGCACAACTTGTGATTGTCAATTATTTTTTTTAATTCTTGATATGACTTTTACCTTCGAAATGTCTCGTAAGTTAAACAAATAATGTATCTTTGTTGGAGTGGGAAGCATCTTTTGAACTATATTATTATATAGATCGATTGAAGCAAATGTTACCTCGTTTGCTAAAAAGAAGAAGAAAATATCATTTTATGTAATTATTAATTATTCAATCAATGTTACATCACGCTTACATATCCCTTTTACTTCAGTGTAAAACTCAAAAAGGTGTTGCTTCAACATTGTACTGTAAATTCTTATAATCTGCTTCTTATTTGGGAAAGTCATGTTAATAATATTGAATTTGGTGAGTAATCGATTTGTAATGACGTTGCGGCCACCACCAGGTGGTCCCATCGCAGCTATTAATTGCATTCTCTCAATATATATTCTCGTTTGTTTCTTACGATTGTACCTGTGGATAATATTTCAGATTGTTTCATCGTATTTTTTACAAATTTGTTTTTATATCTGTCAGACTTTTCCGCTATTTTTCTACATGTTTTTTTTCTGTTCTATTTTCTTGCATTCTTCATATAGTATTACCAAAATCCATAATTGATCCACTGACGAATTAATTCCAACGGTGGTTGCGATCCGTATTTTTCCTTCATGGGCATATTAAAATCGTCTATAAAAGTAATCATAGTTTTATCGCCCGTAGGAATATAAACCTTTTTCGTTCGTTTTTCTAGTCTGCTTTCTATTGTATCCTGAACCAATAGGGTCAATGTAAAATGTTCATTGAATATTTAAGACTATTATCCATTCGATGTATATATATTTGGAGTCTTACTTGTACGTTACCGGATGTAGTTTGGGCTGACATATTTACAAGCAGAACGGAGTATTTCGTGTCGTCCAGATACTCAAGTATCGAGTGGATAGTGGACGTTTTTCCAGTACCCACTGGACCCACTACGAGCACCGGAAAACCATTCGATAGAAGAGAACTTACGATGTAATCGTATCGTATCGTGTCTACGGTAGGTACCATTATCTTGTGAAATGGTAAACTGTAAATTGATTGATTCAAAAATATATTAGATCCCCCGTTAGGAATTGATCTAATATATTATCAGCATTTATCCAATTAATGGATATAATTAAAGGTATGATATGATATAATTTGAATTATTTGATTTAAATATACCTATATATGATTTAAGATATAAAATTTGAGACAAATTCAGGTTATTCTAATTTTGATTAAATTTTAATTTTGCTTAAATTTTCGTTCATAATTATATAATTTGATATTGCAAAGTGCAAGTCGACCGAAAGTGTTAAGAAAGATTACGGTTTTATCATGTAGCTTCGAAGAAAATAAAAGACAACGATTTAAAATTTGTTACGAGAAATTAGAACTTCGTGACATACTAAGTGAATGACATTACAGCTTACCCGGCTTGAAATTTCCAAGTAGGAGATAATTTTTCTTCCCATAAAATAAAAGTACGCAGACGCCCGTCCACGTAATACTCGTAGACCGTATCCCGTAACGGAAAGAAACTTTCAATTTCCCTTATGAATTTATCCATTTTCTCGCGACCCTCCTCGTTGACCGAAACGCATAGTGACCATATCATGCTGCAACGTAGCACTAAATGTAGTTATTTAATGCTCTCAAACACTATTACCATGTCATTAACTCAGAACTTATAGTTTAATACGACTTGCAAACCACCGGAGAATTGCAATATTAGCTATCACTTGCAAATGTCCAGCAGCAGTGGTTAATATTCAAACCTGTGCTACTTGATATTGGTGACAGATTTATAGCCTTATCTCGTTGATGCAAATTGTCGCATCTCATATAATTTTCTATGGAGAGTCGTGTATTAAACACTCAAGAGATTATACACACCAGAAGAAAAACCACATTCTACATATGGTAGAAAAAGCACCGCGATCCTCGCCTAATTCCACGCCGTTTTGCGGTGTTGCGAATAATTCAAGAAGTTTGCAAAACGATTGAATGGCGTTTAATTCGGAAATAGGCACGAGTTCCTCACAATACCGTTGTTTAAATGCCAATATGACGTTAACGTGACTTTTGAATAGCTGATTCATCTGATTGAGATGAAATAAAATTGTTACACCTCGTTGTACGGATTATTCGTTTCCAAGAGGTATCTTACTTCTTCGATAAACTCTGGTTTAGCACTGTATTGTTGCAACCACGAATCGACATACGGACGCCAACCGAGATTCTTATAATCATTATAAATCATGCCTGTTCTAGTGACAGTCGAGGGAGAGGCGGCGGCCAAATCTTGCACCTCAAAGAGCAACGATACTTGATCGGGCATAATGATACGTTCATTATTTACCAGCGTCAATACCTTGAAACGCATCATTTTTTATTTTCAGTAATGTGTGTTAACCTTATGCACTTCAGCTTAAAGAAAAATAAAGGAAAATAAAAAGAAGTAAGGAAAAGTAAAGGAAGGAAAACCTTGTTGTCATCCATGACACTGTTCATGTTCTCAATCCAATCAACGTCCACGGGTCCGTCAAAGAAGATCCACTTTTCGTCGGTAGTATTTTCTGTCAAAAGAACGTTGAGCTTTATAGTAGCATATTTTCCAGATATGAGTCGCGTTAGCAAAACAAATTTTTGTCTTAATAATCTTGCTTATATTCTTCTTTGTTTCTAATTTCTTTATTATTCATAAATCAATATATCAATATATCAATATATCAATATATCAATATATCAATATATCAAGACCGGCTAACAATATTTTTATATTTATTTAATTAATATGTACAATTTTATTCTGTACATGTATAAATTATATTTATATCATATATATAACGAGTACACCTCACAAAATTTGGAAATTGGCGTATCTATTAATATATATTTTTAATTAACTTTGCATAAAAAATATCTGATCATTTTAAATTATAAAATAAATAGATGTTTCTTAATGCATAATAGATCTTGATGCATTTTAATACATCTTGAATAGCTCATTATAGTATAAATTATAGGATTCAGTGTTTTTTTTCTATCATAAACATATATTCGTAGAGTAAATATATATTCTAACATCCTTATTACATCACACATATTACATTGCAATCAATCAAGTACTTTACCGGAACAAGTTTTCCGCATGATGGACGATATCACCCCGTCGAGCCATTCTCCGGTAGAAAGATTGTATTCGCCGTAGAGTTCACTGAGACTCAGTGCCTTAGGATTAATGGGATATACGTGAACGGTGTTAAAACCCGGCTTTCCATCGCTCTTCATTGTCGTCATCGTATTCTGCAAAATCTTCCACGTTACGGTTTTTGCAGTGTTTGACACGCCGACAATCATCGTTGAATGACGCGAGCTCTTGGTTTCGTATAGCTCAATGACTTTCGTCACTATCATGGGAATTGGCTATAATCCAGATGATTTAAGCGATTAATTAATCCTGAAGTACCGAACTAAGTGATTTATCCGAAGATTAATCTGAACAATTTCTACAACTATATTTTCGCTAACGCTGCAGATTAAATTCTAAAGAAGAATGATGCTCCAAGATGGATAAGAGCGCAGCTTAATACACACAAATTGATATTTGTAAGCATTGGATCAGCATGAATAATTTCTCGATAAATGCTCGATAAATTTCTTAGGGCGATGATATAAAAATGCGAACGTTGGCCCCTTCCAGCAAGCGAAGTTACGTTATATCCTTCCTAAGTAGATTACCTGCAGCTTCAACTTGATTGCCTCACTGGTTATATAACTGATAATTTCCTCGTAATCCACGGTCGGTATCTCTATGTTGGGGAAGAGATCTGCGGTGATATCGAGAAATAGTGGTAGGTCATCCGAGGTAAGCTTGGCAACATTCATATCTTTCATGGCGAGAATAATTATCTAGATAACATTCAACTTGGCTGATTATTTACGATAAATATCCGCGTAATACGGCGTAATAGGAAACTATCGCATTTCCATTGTTTTGTAAGTATCTCAAATAAATATTAAAACATAAAATATAGCAAACGTACTTTAAACGTTATTCTTTTTTAATTTCTAAGCGAAATTTTGTCCTTTTAAGTTTTAAAATAATGGAAAATTTTTAAAGATTTCAAATCATTTCATGAATCACCTCTTCCTCAGGCAAATTGGGATATAGCCGTTTCTTTTTTCCAGCATATCGAGTCAATGTTACTATACCTCTCAAACCAAAGTCGTAATGGTATTGCTTGCTAAGCTGCTGCTCGGCGAGAGAATACAAGGTGAAAATCTACAATAGAGAAATGTATTTGCAGAATTTTCGGCATCTGAATTTTCAAATTTTGATATTAAAATAATATAGAAATTTCTTAAGTAATAAAAATAATTTTATTCAATAAAACAATGACAATATTTTGTCATTGCTTTACAACTTTTGAAATTATTTGCGTTACAATGAAAAGTTATTTCGAAATAGGACCAACTTTCCTGGCCAGTGTGCGCGTATCTCGAAATCCTTCACCAAATAAGTTAATTTCGGCAATCATGCTACTGTCCGGCACCATCATCGAGATTGGTCGGAACATGGACTTTAAATTGTCTGGAAGCTCGGTACGTCCGGCGTAACCAGGATTCATTGTGATAAAGATGCCGCAGGTGTGTACCAGGGGTATAGCGGCGCCGTCGAGAATGAATCTCGTAAGTCTCTGGGAGAGAGCGGTCAGTATCGATAGGATCTGTTGCGCCACCACTGATAACACTTCGACGTTAATTCTGCGATTACGAAAGAGATGTTTCTAAGTCTTTTTTTTTATATCTGTTCTTCTATCAGCCCTTTTTCACGTATCATGTGATACTAAAGTCATTCAAAAACTAATTAACTTTGTGCAAATATAAATTAAAGTAAAAAAGAAAAATAAAATTAAATAAAAGATAAAGATAAAAAAGATTTTTATGACTTATAATAATTAAATAATAAATATATATTTCCAAACGTATGTCACGAATTTGGAAAAGGTTTGATAAGATTTGCGTTGTTACGAATATAGAATTTTGAAGAGTATTCACCGATTGAATTCGTCGAAACATCCCCAGGCACCAGTTTGCGACAGACCAGAAAATAATCTGCCCATACTTTTGTAGTCAAGCCCTTCCGAACAATTTTGCACGATTACGTTAAAACCGAGCGCTTTTCCCAAGTCTTTTACCGTTTCAGTTTTTCCAGTACCCGCAGGTCCCTTTGGGCTACCACCGCGGTACAAATGAAGAGCCGTTGTCAACGTGATATAACATCTGCATGAGATATAACGCGAAGAGTTATTTCATTATTTAATACGCGATAATACGTGATATATGTGGAAATGTAAAATTAACAGATGAGAG